TTTTTTCCTTTTTCTTGCAGAAACTAGCTAAAAAACTAAAATAACTCCATAAAAGAAATGTTTTTTGCAAAATTGAAATAAAAATTGATATCATGAAAAAAGAAATGTAAAGAATATATACCTCATAGTCATAAGTTTTTGGAACTAGCGCTGCTTGAGAGTGGATGAAACCAAGAACCACAAGAAAACCTAGAACATGAAGAGCCATAGCCTTCTTCATTTTTATGCAACTTCAAACTCTAAGGTGCTACTTAATTAGAGATTGTAGTTTCTTGAGTCTAAGGTGTGTCATTGATGTATATATAGTTGGTGTGGAGGAGGCCGGAAGTCCTCTACTTTGACTAGTAATATGTACTACTTTTATAAATCTCTTTCACATCATTAATTAAAGGCAATCTTAATACAATGTATAAAATCCTATATAAAATGTTTTTTCTATATATGCCGAACAAAATATGAGTTTCATGCAAACAGATGGGTCCTGGATCGCAACTTCTATTTATTGTGATTGGAAAATGACACAAATATCCTATAAAATTTTTAGAGTTGGTATATTCAGTCCCTAAAATTATTTTTTGACTTTATGGGGTATAAGGTAGGTTCCGATTTGATTTTTTAGTCCTTTTCAATCTTTAATACCCGGTACACCATGCGACAATGACAATTTAGACAAAAAAAACTCACATTATACCCCTATAAAACCAAAAAAAGTTTGGAGAACCTTTAAACCAAAACTCATGAAATCGACTTCAATCGACACTTTCGTCTTCAATGGGGAAACCAACTCACCGGTGGGTATTGCTTCCTAGGTGAGTTAGTTTTCTCATCGAGGATAAAAGTGGCGATTGAAATCAATTTCATGAGTTTTGGTTTAAGTGATCCCCATACTTATTTTTCTTTTATTTCTTTTTGTTTTATAGGGGGAATAATATGAGTTTTTTTTGGTCAAATGACCACTATCGTATGGTGTACCGGCTATTAAATGTTAAAAGAGACTAAAAAAAGCGGATGATAACCTACCTCATATCCTTATAGAGCCAAAAAAATAAATTTAAGGACTGAATCAATCAACCTTAGAAACTTTATAGGGCATGTAGGTTTATCCCCTTTTCAACCTGTGAACACATATGAAAGAAAGAAACAAATTGGTACAATTTTACAACTGCACACAATAGAAAAGAAGAAAATAGAAGAGATGGTAAATTTTCTATTATTATTCCCCAAATCAAAATAGACGATAAGGTGTGCTATTTATAGTTAAAAAAAAAAAGACAAAAAAAAAAAAACAAATGTTGCAAGTGCATGTGCTCCATATAAAAATGGCAACTAAGGCACATTATTCTCCTAAGACTTAGTTAACATATAACCAATTCAAAACTAAATTTAATCTGATTAAAAACATGACTCATCAACTCAACCCAAATAACCCACACATGTCAAGATTATCTAACACTCACCCCCTTTAACCTTGATAATAGTCTATACCCCTAGCACTCTTGACCAATTGCCACCTTCGGAACTTGGGAGTTTTCTTCTTTGCATTCTCTTCTTCTTCAGTCAAATTTCATCACCACTGGATTCCTCATCAGCAAAGCCATCAACTCCGCCTGATTCCGCAAAAAAAAAAAAAAAAAAAAAAAAACAAAACAAAACAAACTCGACAACCTCCTTCACCAAGAATGAAAAACGAACATGAAACACCACCTGTTTCATATCGACCATTTTTCTCCCATATATTACCAACCAACACAGATTACACACGAATCTGAGTTATTTTCTAATCTTCCTCTTTTCTTCAACCTACACACATTTACTTGTAGGTGCACAAAATTATGGTTTTCTGATCACACTCTATTTCTCTTTCTCACGTTGACTTGCTTCTCCATACATATTAGTATCACCATAAATGTTTCTCATCTTCTTGGTTAAGCCAACACCTCGATTATGAACAAAATTTCCATTAACTCTCACAGATCCATTTCCAAAACTTTGTCACACATACAAGGATTTAATTACATGGATTTTTTGGTTTAAAACTCCTTCAGCACACAAACCTTTCTCTCACACAAATTAATCTTCAAAACAAAAATCAATCACACATATTTCTTAGTTGAACTCGGCTCACACAAAGGTTTGTTCATGCTCACATAGAGCTTCAACTTTCACTGAACTCAATGATTCACATAGAACCTCTTCAGATGATCCCACAATCATAGGGCTCTGATACCAAATGTCAGTTCAACCTCTCTTTAACGTGTGAACACATATGAAAGAAAGAAACAAAATGGTACACTTTTACTATTGTACACGATAGAAAAGAAGAAAATATAAGAGATGGGAAATTTTCTGTTCTTATTACCTATATCAAAATAGACTACAAGGTGTGCTATTTATAGCTAAAGAAAGAAAGAAAAAAACCAAAGGTTGCAGGTGCATGTGCTCCCTATAAAAGTGGCAACTAAGGCACATTATTCTCCTAAGACTTAGTCAACATGTGACCAATTCGAAACTAAATTGAATTTGACTAAAACTGTGACTCATCAACTCATCCCAAATAACCCACCCATGTCAAGATTAACCAACACTCACGCCCTTAATCTTGATAATAGCCTATACCCCTAGTATTATTGACCAACTGCCACCTTCGAAACTTGAGATTTTTCTTCTTTGCCTTCTATTCTTTCTTCCACCAAGTTTCATTGCCACTAGATTCCTCACCAGCAAAGCCATCGCCCTCGCCTGAATCTGAAGAAAAAAAAATTAACAACCTCCTTCATCAAGACTAAAAAACGAACATGATACACCATTGGATAAGGTGTCTAAATCCATAACTATATCTGGTATGTACTTGACCCGACCCGGCATGGTCCATTTGGGTTGCATGACATCATGCATTTTGATAGGCTAAAATGAGAGAAATAACACTTATGGTTTATTAATATATTATAAGTTCAAATATATTAATAATACTAATTAATTAGTATTGATCAAGAATTAATTTAAAATTAATTAAGTGATCAAAAGAAGACTAATTAAATACATGAGTTAATTATGAAAATCATCCATAACGTGTATAGTGGGCTTAAGGCTTCGTGGTTTCTCAAGATGGGCTAAGACCCATAGGATGCTCCATGTATGCTCCATGGGAGTTACAAACCCATAAGTCATGGAAATGAAGAGTCATGTCACATTAGGGTTTACATGGTGTAACCCTAGATGTAACACACTATATAAAGGATATGAAGCTCACCGAAATCGATCACTAGAAGCAATATAGAGGGCAAGCCGATTTCTAAGTGTGACATTCTCTCTCAAAGTTTATTCCAATTGCATTTGGTGTTGTGTGAAACATTTGAGGCATCACTCTTGGGGTGCCAGGCTCTCAAGGTTTCTAAGGAATCAAATCAGCTACAAGGTATGTAATTCTATCCATCTTTTATCTTCAAGTTCCCCATGTATGCTAGATAGGATTATGAACCTTGGAAAAAGTATTTTGCATGTATTCTTAGACAAACATAGATCCAAGGTTTTCTAGGTTTGCATGTACACTTAGGAGTGTTAGAATGCTCAAAACCCTACAGTGGTATCAGAGACTAGGCTTGTTTGTTTGATACTTGATGCAAAATAGTGAATAAAAGTCGAATTTCTTTCTATCTGCACAGGGGACTCACCGAGTCCATGGGGGGACTCGACGAGTTCAACTGATTCTTCAACCAACTCGATGAGATGGTTATTGCACTCGACGAGTTGGCATGTAGAGTGCAGATTTTTTATTTTTGCTACTGGAAAAGGACTAGAAACATTATCCTAAACTGTTTTGGTGTTTTAAAACTTGTTTTAGATGGTGTAATGGTTGTTCTAATCCATTTGCAATGGCTAATATCAAAATTACATGATTATATGTGTTCATATGTTCTTGAAATTTTAATATGACTATTCATGTTCTTATGAGTTATTGATAGATCATAGGAATTACTTGTTTAATGTTTAATTCATGATCTTTATGTGCTTTAATGGAGTCCATAACTTGTCCTCAAGTTATGGATAACCAAAAGTCACTTTATTTTATATCCATTAAAAGAACACATAAGTTACAAAAAATGAAGAGTCTTCATTTTTAATAACTCATAAGTTATGAATTGAAAGGTTGTAAAGTTACAAAACTTGCCCTCAAGTTTTGGAACAAGTAAAGTCATCTAGTAAACTTTACTTCCAATCCCTAGAATTTTAAAAGTTAAAATTCAACCCTTATACTTTATAATATTATAAGTTAATAATATATATATATATATATATATATATATATATGTATGTATGTATGTATGTATGTATGTATGTATGTATAAGATCAAGTCGTTTTACCATTAGTAGGCCTCATTCACGAAGTCGGTCTATAAGGGGGTATAAGGTTGTTGCCTATAAAATGGTAGCTTAATGAGTGTCCACTCTCACCCATCGCTTCCTTGACTGGTGGAGGGCCATTAGCCGAACAGGTAGGACGATGAATTAAAATTTTCATTAAAAGTATAATGATTATTATAAAGTAACTAAATGTTTCTATTAATTCCTAATCTTAGTTACTTTAGGAAAAATGTGAATAAGGTGCTAACCCATGAAATTACACTTTGCGCTTTGATTAAGTCGTTAGTGGAGCGTGTGTGGTTAACCGGCACGCTAACTTGAACTTAACAAGGTAGACAAAGGGTGACTTAAGGTTTTTCATAGGTCGGTGGAGCGTGTATGATTAACCGGCACATCGATTAAGTGAAAAACATTAAGGGTACCAAGTAATTTGCATGGTAACTTCACACCTTGTTTTGTGATCCTCGGTATCCCAATCACAAAACATGAAGGGAACACTCGAGATTGAAACATGCAATTAAAAAGTTCAATGAATCTCAAAAGAATCTAGGAGTTTCTAAAACCA